AGGGAGTTGTACCTTCCTTAGGTTAAAAATGCCCCACAGATAGGATAAAGGTGAAATTTGACTCCACCATTGGTTATTTTCCCTCTACTTAGCAAGAGCCCAGATGCAGAGTCTCTGAAGCTGCAGTTGTTGTGCTCAGTCCCCTTTGGATCACTCCTTAGAATGCCTCATTACGTCACTATTTTATCTGCCTTCCTGATTGGGGAGTCTGATTATGTCTTGGGCTGCCATCGCCTTTGGCAGGTAAAACATCCTTTTAAATTATAGTACTATAGAATGTCTTTTACATATTCACCCTCCTCATCCTGGTGAGAAAGGTTGATAGATTGAACTACCTTTTCAACCTGAAAGGAAGGAAAGAATTCTGAATGTTCCAGCTATGTATTTCAGCCAAATGTTTTAACTCCATTGTAATATTTAAAGCAAAATGCCAGGTTTCAAACATTCTGGGAAAGAATCAGAAAATACTAAACAAGCAAATTAAGCCAGAAGTCCCATTTTGCTCAGCCAAATGCTAACTAGTTGCAAATATAGGCAATGGCTGGTGGAAATGTCTTTTAATACATGTGGCAGAGATTCATCTCTAAGAAGACTGTTATGTCCCTAACGACTGGCAGAGTGATTAACAGAAAAACCTGGCAACTCAGCTTGCAAAACAGCCATTTGCAACAAATCTGTGACTAATGGCCACCAGCCCTCTTCCAAACCCAGGCTTTAAAGAAATGCAGGTCTATAAAGCAGACAATTATCTATATCCCTCAGCCTAGTTTTATCTCCCTGTAGAATACACCCACAAAACTCAAATCAGCAAGAAAGCTTTTACTTAACCATTCGAGTCTTTTCTCTTTTCTGCCTTCTTTGTATCTTTGCAAAAATAGATCCCTTCATCATTGTCTCTTCAGCATATCTAGTCATCTCTATGCATATCTATGCAATGACAACTAACTCAGTAAGACGGCATTTGAACAAGGAACGGAAAAGGACTGTGAGAACGGGATCTGACTCCAATAGAGGCGTTGATGACTATATGTGTGTTGTTTGTGTACGTATGTCTTATATATTGTTAGTGTTGCTTATTTTTATTGTAAACCGCATTGAGTCGCCGCCTCAGGCTGATAAATGCGGTATACAAATGGAGTAAATAAATAATAAATAAAATCTCTTTCATACAGATGTGCAGCAGACCCTCCATATCTGCAAGAGATTTGTTCCACAACACTCCCCCCCATACAACCCCCACTCCTACAGATGCTCACATCCCTAATATAAAGGAATAAAAAGAGATCTCAAGGACCCACAAGGGCAGATGGTACCACACACACAGCCCACAGGCTCCCCACCCCACCCCACCCCACCCCAACAACCAGTTCCCCCCTTTCTTCACTTGATCCCTTCTGCCCCACCACCTGCTATGTGCACCCAGAAGGTGGCAACCAGCCATGTCTCATCCAGCCTGCCTTTCCCTCCCCACCAACTAGTCTTATTCTCTCCCTGGCCACTTGATCTACCTTACCACTTGCTGTATTTGCTATGAAGGCAGCAGCCACCGCCACCTACTCACAGACCCTGGCCTCCCCTCTCCTGGCACAGTGCAGTGGCTTATTTCCCCTCAGCAAGGGAGTGCCACGCTCAAGCTTCCGCCACAGTTCTCTTGCAAAGCCACTGGATGCAATAGGAGATAACTTTTGTAAAATGTGCTTTAAAAATATTTTTGAATATCTTTCTATTTTTTAATATTTAAATACTGCCTTTTAAAATTATTGTTTTTGATCCATGGTTGATTGACTCCACAGATCCAGAGTAATTGTCTTTTTTTCTATTCCCATTTACTTATTTTTCCATGTCCCCATTCAGCATTCTAGTGCCAAAATCAGACTCTTGTTATACTGATAAAACATTTGTCTACTGCAATCCCATCACTAGTTGTTTTTTTTTTAAAAAAAATCTGTTGAGAGACCTTTAAGACCTCCTCTAGCCTTTCCCGCTCAACCAGTTGTCCACTCATATCCTGGTACATACTGATCTCTGTTTTGTGGTGTGTACATACCTAAGTCTATTAAACTACATAAATTGTTGGTTAACTTTGCACACTTATTGGAAAGATCAGTTCTGTGGTCAAATCTTGAGTTGTTTAAGTTCTGAGAAAGACATTTACATATATAGACAGTCCCCAAATTACAAACATCCGACTTTCAAACAACTCATAGTTAAGAATGAAGGTTAGACAACAGGAAGTGAAATAAATCTACCCATCAAAAGAAAATTCAGTTCTGAAAGAGTTATTATGGGGAAAAGGTGTCTCCACTGAAGCTTTATCAACAATCCTTGTTTCAACAACAAGCCACCCACGCCACCCCCAAATCCAGTTATCACAGGGACAGAAGGTGAGGGAAAATCTTCTGAACAGGGACACAGGGGTTAACCCTTCTCTATGCTATCCAAACCCTTCCCTGTTTTTCCATCTCTGTAATGTTGAAGATAAGATAAGATAAGGAACTATTTTTAAACAAGCAATGCATGGAAGTGGAAGAAGACAACAGAATAGGAAGGACAAGAGACCTCTTCCAGAAAATTAGAAACATTGGAGGTAAATTTCAGGCAAAAATTGGTATGATAAGAAACAAAGATGGCAGGGACCTAACAGAGGCTGAAGAGATCAAGAGAAGGTGGCGAGACTATACAGAAGATCTGTATAGGAAGGATAATAATATTGAGGATAGTTTTGACGGTGTGGTGAATGAATTAGAACCAGACATCCTGAGGAGTGAGGTTGAATGGGCCTTAAGAAGCATTGCTAACAACAAGGCAGCAGGAGACGACGGGATCCCAGCTGAACTGTTTAAAATCTTAAAAGATGATGCTGTCAAGGTGATGCATGCCATTTGCCAGCAAATATGGAAAACACAAGAATGGCCAACAGATTGGAAAAAATCAACTTATATCCCCATACCAAAAAAAGGAAATGCGAAAGACTGCTCAAACTTCCGTACAGTGGCCCTTATTTCTCATGCCAGTAAGGTAATGCTCAAGATCCTGCAAGGAAGACTCCAGCAATACATGGAGCGAGAGTTGCCAGACGTTCAAGCTGGGTTTAGAAAAGGCAGAGGAACGAGAGACCAGATTGCCAATATCCGCTGGATAATGGAGAAAGGCAGGGAGTTTCAGAAAAACATCTACTTCTGCTTCATTGACTATTCTAAAGCCTTTGATTGTGTGGATCATAATAAATTGTGGCAAGTTCTTGGTGGGATGGGCATACCAAGCCACCTTATCTCTCTCCTTAGGAATCTGTACAAGGACCAAGTAGCAACAGTAAGAACTGACCACGGAACAACAGACTGGTTCAAGATTGGGAAAGGCGTACGGCAAGGCTGCATACTCTCACCCAACCTTTTTAACTTGTATGCAGAACACATCATGCGATGTGCGGGGCTGATGAATGCAAAGCTGGGGTGAAAATTGCTGGAAGAAACATTAACAACCTCAGATATGCAGATGACACCACTCTGATGGCCGAAAGCGAGGAGGAGCTGAGGAGCCTTCTAATCAAGGTGAAAGAAGAAAGCGCAAAAGCCGGGTTGCAGCTGAAAAGTCAAAAAAACCAAAATTATGGCAACAAGAATGATTGACAACTGGAAAATAGAGGGAGAAACCGTGGAGGCCGTGACAGACTTTGTATTTCTAGGTGCAAAGATTACTGCAGATGCAGACTGTGGCCAGGAAATCAGAAGACGCTTACTTCTTGGGAGGAGAGCAATGTCCAATCTCGATAAAATAGTAAAGAGTAGAGACATCAGACTGGCAACAAAGATCCGCCTAGTCAAAGCCATGGTATTCCCTGTAGTAACCTACGGATGTGAGAGCTGGACCTTAGGGAAGGCTGAGCGAAGGAAGATCGATGCTTTTGAGCTGTGGTGTTGGAGGAAAGTTCTGAGAGTGCCTTGGGCTGCGAGAAGATCCAACCAGTCCATCCTCCAGGAAATAAAGCCCGGCTGCTCATTGGAGGGAAGGATACTAGAGACAAAGTTGAAGTACTTTGGCCACATCATGAGGAGACAGCAAAGCCTAGAGAAGACAATTATGCTGGAGGAAAGTGGAAGGCAAAAGGAAGAGGGGCCGACCAAGGGCAAGATGGATGGATGGCATCCTTGAAGTGACTGGACTGACCTTGAGCGAGCTGGGGGTGGTAACGGCCGACAGAGAGCTCTGGCGTGGGCTGGTCCATGAGGTCACGAAGAGTCGGAGACGACTGAACGAATGAACAACAACAACAAATGTTGAAGAGCATGCCATTGCCTACTGCCCGCTTGTTCCCCCTGCATCCTCTTACCTCTGAAAGGTTGCAAGCAAGGGGAAATTTCCCAGCCTGACAACATGTAGGTGAGTGTTTAGAGATGGGAGGATATAGAATTACATCTACTGGAAAGGGCCTTGGCCATCAGGGAGTCAGGAACTCATATGAGGACATTTCCTGAATTCAAAAACTCCCAATTACAGCTACTCCCAACTTCTATAAAAATTGGCTCAAGCTTTATTTCATATTGAGTATACTCCACCAAGAAGAATGAAAATTATTCTTATGTGTTTGTTTCATTAATTTCAATAAGGCTTATATAATTCTAGGTGGATGGTGCCAATAGTTCTGTATTAAGAGAGTAACTGAAGCTTTCAGTGCTTGTTTTTAAAGTAGCAGAAAAATCTTGTCAGCAAAATCATGGTGGAAGGTTGTGTCATTTCTCTTTTAATTAGTACTGAATGACTGTAACATTTCAGCCCATTTGAGACTGCCATTTAATCATTCTCAAAATGAATCCCCTGTTAAAAACAGAGCTTGCCAACATTACTTTTTTTTTAGAACTACAACTCTCTAAGATAGCTAAGGGGTTTGGGGAATTGTAATCCAATACTGTAACCTTATCAAGCTCAGAACTCTGCTATTTTAAGATGTTACCTCCTGTGCCACAGAATTTTTTAAAGGCAAAAATTGCATTTTGTTTCAGTGGAAGACCAGATGTTTCGTTCTGTGGAAGGTCAGGCTGCATCGGATGAAGAGGAAGAGAAATGGACAGGGAACCAAGAGTGTCAACTTGCCGAAGTGAAGAAACTCCTAGCCAGACTTCCCTGTTGCAATAATGGGTATGGCTCAGCCAGAAAATTATTCATATTTTAAACAATATTTGGTTATCCTTTCTGAAAACTGCACTTACAATGAAGTGAGTGAATTTTACATTATGTATAACTGAGTTTCAGGTTTCATAGTTATTGCTGCATTTTTAAAATGGAGAACCAACATGTATTGCTTTAATTACTTTTTTAGGTTGTAACCTAATGATCCTAAATTTGATAGGGCAATATGTTACTTGTTGTTGTTTATTCGTTCAGTTGTTTCCGACTCTTTGTGACTTCATGGACCAGCCCATGCCAGTGCTCTCTGTCAGACGTCACCACCCCCAGCTCCTTCAGTGTCAAGGCAGTCACTTCAAGGATACCATCCATCCATCTTGCTCTTGGTCAGCCCCTCTTCCTTTTTCCTCCATTTTTCCCAGCATCATTGTCTTCTCTAAGCTTTCTTGTCTTCTCATGATGTTGCCAAAGTACTTCAGCTTTGTCTCTAATATCCTTCCCTCCAATGAGCAGCCGGGCATTATTTCCTGAAGTATGGACTGGTTGGATCTTCTCGCAGTTCAAGGCACTCTCAGAATTTTCCTCCAACACCACAATTCAATATGTTATAGGAAGCCTGTTATGGGATACTTTCCCCTTAGATGCCCAACTGGCACCAACTCTCTTACCGTTCTAGTGCAAATATGACTGTTTATTAAAAATGCAGATGTATGTTTGATCTCATTCAAATTTGCATACGTGTGTGGTTTAAAATGTTTGAATGGCTTCCCTATCTGTTCTGTTTTAAATGTTAAATAGTTTAATAAGCTTTTGGCCTTTAAATTTAATAAGCTTTTGGCCTTTAAACCGGACCCAATTCAAGGTGCTGGTTTTGGCCTTCAAAGCCCTAAACGGTTCCGGCCCAAAATACCTTGCTGACCGCATCTTGGCCTACGAGCCCACGAGGACCTTGAGATCGTCTGGGGAGGCCCTTCTCTCGATCCCGCCTGCATCACAGGCACGGCTGGCGGGGACGAGGGAGAGGGCCTTCTCGGTGGTGGCCCCCCGGCTGTGGAACACTCTCCCTGCAGACATCAGACAGGCGCCTTCCCTCATGTCCTTCCGAAAAAGCCTCAAGACCTGGCTGTTCGAGAGGGCATTTAATTAAGTGCTATAATACATTACGGTAATGAGAATTGGAATGGTATAAGGATGATGAGACTGGTCTATGATTCTACTAAGAGACGAAGCGGATTTTTATGTAGTTTGTACTTGTTGTATAGTTTGTGTTGTGGATATTGGCTTTTGTAACCTGTCTTTTATGTGTACTGTACACCGCCATGAGTCGCCCGTAAGGGCTGAGAATGGCGGTTAATAAGTACATCAAATAAATAAATAAATAAATAAATTCTTGTTTTAAGTAATTTTAAATGGTCTGAGTTGATGCGTTGCATGCCAGCTAGAGGTCACTGGATACAAGACTGGATGTAAATATTTTTGTAGTGATTTGAGCATCAGATTCTGAAGATCAGGGTTTGAATCCCTGCTTGGCCACAGATACCCACTAGGTGACCTTGGGCAGGTCACACTCTCCAAGCTTTCAAGAAATACAAAGACAAATCTCTGTGGACAAATCTTGCTTGAAAATCCTGTGATAGTGGTGCTTCTAGAACATGGCCATATATCCCAAAAAACCTACTACAACCCAGTGATTCCGGCCATGAAGGCCTTTGACAATACATTATCCTGTGATAGGTTTGCTTCAGAGTCACCAGATGTCAAAAACAACTTGATGGAACACAACAACAGCAACATGAATATTTTAAAGAGCTATCTAGTGATCCTTTCCCCCATAGCATGTCATTTTAATATGCAGACAACACGACTTGAAATAATCATTCCACTCCTCTTTTCCTTGCTTGCTTTAAGCATTTCTTTGCCTGATTTAAAAAATGTGCAGTTTCAGAAACTTGCACAGAAATCTTTTTTACTTGGCCTAATAAAGATGATTATGATGATGAAGATGACAACTTTATTTTTGTATCCTGCCATCATCTCTCTGAGGGGACTTGGGGCAGCATACATGGGGACCAAGCCTGGTCAACACAGTTAAAATATAGCACAATAAAATACATATAAAACATCATAAAAACATATACCATCAATAATCAACAACAGTAGCTGAGCACAGTGGACATGTTCAGAACTAAGAGGCAAGGGATTGTGCAGTACAACTGCCAGAACGGGCTGATAGTAACAAGCAAGGGCCAGTGGCCAACTTGGGCTAGATCAATCAGTGCAATACAACTGCAAGGGGAGGGATAATGATAAAGTGCAAGGATCAAGTATTAAGTTATGGCTGAAGGGGCCAAATCATGTAGTGAACCGGATTAATCAAAAGAACATTGGAACATCCACTTTTTTTGGTCTTTATAGAAAGTGGACAGGGTGGGAGCAAATCTAATCTCCCTGAAAAGAGAGTTCCAAAGCTGGGCCACCACCGAGAAAGCCCTCTCTATTTTCCCCACCAATTGTGCTTGTGACGGATGTGGAAGTGAGAGAAGGGGCCTCCCCAGCAGATCTTAGAGCTCGTGCAGGTTCAGAGGGGAAAATGTGATTGCGAAGATAGGCTGGACCTGAACCATTTAGGGCTTAGTAGGTAATAACCTGCACCTTTAATTAGGACCAGAAACTTATCAGCAGCCTGTTTAAATAGGGGAGTTGTCCGCTCCCTATAATTCACTCCTGTTAGCAACCTGACCTAACCATACTATGGCTTTTGCAATTTGCCTTGTGGTCATTGCTACCTTTGCATTTGGAAAAATCGGCATACTGTATATTGTAGGTTTTTGATCAGAAAATGTGTTACAGGTGTGAGGTAGAGGTTGAGGTTTTGTAGACCTCTTGAAGTTGTGGATTCATAACTGCTAGCAATCCTAGCCAATGTAGCCAGACGTGAACAATGCTGGGAGTTGTAGTCTGGGAGGCAACACATTTTTCACCCTAAAGGGCAAGTAGTCCATTAAACATTTCCCCAATTTCCCCCTGCAGCGAGAGGCATATGTTAATTAACTCTATCTGATTCAAGGAGATGCTACGAATGAAAGGGAAGCTTCCTACACTGCCTTCTCTGGCATTTACAAGGTTCAGATGGTACATTTAACTCGTGTGACTCAGTGCCAGAGAAAAGTGCCAAAGGCTATAGTCTTAAAGAACATATTGCCATGCTAATGGACGTCTGTGCACACAAATCTGAGTCAGTCTGCAGTTTCTGCTGCTGCCGCTCAACATCCAAGAAGGATTTTCAACTAAAAACATAGCTTCTTCTTTAGCTGTTAAGAGAGTTTTCTGTGTCACCCCAGAAGCATCATGCTTGGTTGTCTTCACTGAGCTTTCTGAAGTTGCTGCTAAAAGCTAAGGTTAGTGGTTTTATCCTAGATGAGGAATCCTTTCAGAAATAGCCTTTTAAAAATCAATTCCAAATCCCAGTATAAAATAACTGACTTGTTCAGGGTCAACCCTGCCATTAGATAAATGGAGTCAATTATGTTCAATATCAGTTGCTGATGGATGGGAAGTATACAGGGTGTGCTGCCCCACAACTCTGTCCCTGTGCTCTCATTTGCAGTGGAGGTTGTGCTAAAATAAAATTAAACTGACACTTTAATTTAATTATACAAAAAATGAATACCATTTTGCCCTTTATCTCAAGGTTCAAAATGTTCAGGGCCAGCTCTAGGCCAGTTTCTCCTTACTCCAAGTTGAGGAGATTCAACAAGGCAACAAAAATGGCTTTTCTGTACAGATAATTAATGTGTCCTGCTTTGTTGTGTTGATAATCATGATTTTTTTTAAATGCTAGTATTTAGAAACTGGATTTGGTTTCAGGAGTGCTTGGTTCAGATATTTTAAACCATACATTATTGTCTATCATTTCATGGCACCAAAATGGAAAGACACACAGTCAAAGGAATATTTTCTATCCACAGATGTGATGACACAGTGATGAAGAGGCTGATACATCACTTTGAGAACACCAGCAAGGAAGGCCATGAGAACATCATTGTGGAACTAGTCAAGCAGTTGTCAGTGTTAACAGAAGAGCTTGAAATGAAAGGGCAAGAAGTAAAAATACTGGAAACAAATGCGGAGAAGGTAAATAGGTTTGTAGTTTGCTGTAGATTGGCTGATATCTAAAATGCTTCTCATATGTGGTAGTTGGGATCTTGTTCTAGTATAATGATCCATCATTCCCATGGTTGTACTTTTGCAGGATTGTTTAGCAGTAACAAGGGAAGACAGGGAAATAATTGCTCCAATCTCCAAGTAGCCTGTTCCATCAATGCCTAGATTCTGGTCAATTCCTCAAAGCCATGGTATGTTACAAAGGCTGTCTTGTAAAGCCACCTCAGCCGTAGGATATGTGATTTTTCCAAGCTAGCCTTCTCCAAACATCTTGGTCCTAAGGACCCCTTTAGAAGCCAAACATTTGAGAAATAGGCTTTTTCAGGCTGGCAGGCTTTCCTTTCCAATCATACTTTTGTTGATTTTGTAAATTTCTGACTGCCTCTCTGTTAACAAGACTATAAAGAAGGTCTTCTTTTATGACTTGAAACATGTGACCATTAGGTATTTCTGGACTCCAACTCCTTTAATCTCAGCCAGCAAGTTCAGAGATGATGGGAGTCGCAATCCAGTGTTTGGAAGGTCACAAGTTTCCTGCATACTCTACATCTCGCTGCTGAGAGTGCTTAGATCTCTGTGCTGTCTGCTGATAAATGAAAAGATGAGCATGTCTGTGTGTGTGTTTATAAGGGGGAAAGGTGGTGGAGGGAAAGACTTGTATTCTGAGAATGCAGATAATATTTTCTCTGGCAGGAATTCTATTAAGCAACAGAGGAACATAAAGCTCTGCCAACATAAATGTCCAGAGATGTCTTGGGGAGGGAGGTGACTATAGTGTTAATGAGGCTGAGCCTCACCTGAGAAAGGGATTCCAAAGTGCTTCTGTACAGAGAGGGGGATGTGCAAGCTGCAAGAAAGTACGGTAGTTTGTGAAAGTACAGTAGTTTGTGCTTTAACAGGTGCAAGAAGCTTTGAGTCTCCTTGCAGAGACAAAAAGCAAAGTATAAATAAACGTAATAATAATTACTTATACATAACTTCCCAATAGGATTCCAGCCTCCATTCCTTTTTATTGAAATGCAGTAAGACACTCCCTCTGAGGACTGTTAGAAGTTTTGGGGAAGACTCATGCTTCTGTGGAAAATGCACAAAGGCAAACATATTGACTTTCACTGCAGATTCTAATTTTTAGGCTGTTTTAAAAGAGGACATCAAATAACCTGTTATTCCCTCCTTTTTGTTCCCACTGCTGTTTTGAAGCTGAATTCATGTTCAGCTTCAATATCTTTTGTTAGTATTGAAATTACAGGCCGACTGTCACTGGGTGGTTTGGTGAAATGGCACCTTGGTGGCGTGGGCTTGTTATTTATACATCCAAAAATCATATCTTGAAAGTCAGTGCAGAGAAAAGAAACAAAACAGAACTTGCGTCAGCTGCAGGCAGGTCAAGAGTAATAGCCCCATGTATGGATCAATAATTGATCCAATCTAAAAGTACAAAGGCCAGGAGATGAAAAAGACTGTTAACTTTGATTCCTTTTTTAGTGTGTTCCAGTCTGTAGCCACGGTAAATTCAGAGGGACATCTTCCAAAGAAAGCTTAATGAAGGTGTCAGATCATAAATGATAGATTGAAGAAAACATTACTAAATTCTAAAGCTAAGTTGATAGTTTATCAACTCTGAATCTATAAAAGGTTGCTAGTGAAGCTTGGCCTAACACATGACTTTTTCTGGACAAATTAATCAAAAAGTACAGTTACTTCCATCTACTTAAAAGTCTTTTCATAGGGAGTTAGCCACTAAGTTTTACATAGAGGGTCATTAAACTGTTCTTTCATATACCTCTGTATGGACACTGAACAATTATGTACACAAAAGGTTGAGTTTGAATATAATAAAATTAGGATTTCATGCTGTGTGAATAATTTTATGTTGTCTTTTGGGGGGGATTTTATTTATTTCAAAACATTCAGCGTATCACAATTGTCTTGTCACATTATCTGTTCCCAGATCTATACTCCTCCTACCCCTCTGACCAGTCACATAGTATTATAAAAATACAGCTCTCTCAGTTCTATTACCTCTGCCGGGTATGATAGCAACCATGGTTTGGCATTACCTCTCTACTAATGTATTGTTAATGATTACAGTAAAAGTCATACAAGATCTGTTCCATACTGTCTTCGCAGTAGATCTTCTGAATCAATGGAAAGTACTAAGTGTCCATCTGCCATGTTTCTCTGTGTCTGCTGTGGTTGATTCTAATAATTTTATATTGTTACTTTATGTGCTACTTTTGGCATTTAGTATGAAAAGAAAGTAGATCTGGCTAAAAATGTATACATGTAAGGGTGCTAGACTTATTTTTCAGTAGCATCTAATCACAGCTTGAGGGTACACCTTCATACTACCGCCACCAGCATTTCCAAAAACTATAGTATCAGCCACATTTAAGGGATGCGATGTTGTGTAAACTAGGTAATTACAAAGCACTGAAAACTTGAATAGTCAGCAGAGTGCACAGCTGGTATAAAGATTACATAGAATCATTTAGTACTGTTCATTCATAAGCAAACCAGCTATATCTGCTACATATCCAATATTATGGCAAACCATTGTCTGAGTTGTTTTTGGAGTAGAAGGAGTCTTACAGTTGCTTCATTGGCTTTATTGTTCATGCAGTCAACATTATTCTGATATATAGGAGAAAAATTGGATAGGGATTTCAGGTTCCTATATTTTTCTCGGATGCAAACATGCTAGCTAGAGAGCATGTGAAAGAAGGATGTAGTGTAAATAACCCCACAGATATTGTTTTTGGAAAGCACTGATATTTCTTTGCCTGCCTGCTGATCGGTTCATGACACTGCCATTGGCATGAAGGATGGGGAACCCTTTTGTTTGTGTGTTTCATTGCTGTGGAAATGGAGGTTGAAATGGGAATTTAGAAGTCACTGTTTGGCAGATAAGATGAACTATGTCATCTGCCCATGTTTCCAATTAACCGAGAAGTTAGAAAAGAAGAGTTCATATTGGGATATAGAGCGAAAGTAGGTTTGAAGCGATGCTCTCCAAGAGCCAGTAAAAATACATTACAGCTTTGTCAGCTCTTCAGATGACCTTCTGAGAGGAGCACTGGATGGATCGTAGATTATTTCATTCTTTACTCACAGCTCTCCAGAGTGCTGAAGTGGTTGTTCAGTTACTAAATATTGATTAGGGTAATATTTTCCGAGCAAATAATTTTTTTTAAAAAAAAAACTTTGCCTTCTTCAAAAATTGTGCAGCAGCCCTTCAATTCAGTTCCATCTCCAAGGGGCCCTCTTGCAACTGTTACTGCAATAAAGATGAAATATGGTGACAAGAAAGGATTAACAAGGACTGGAAAAGACTAAATTTATCCCACAGGATTTTGTTCCAATGTGCAATAAAAATAAATGTATTAAACTTTGAGCTTGCAACAAGCAATTGCAAAGAATGATAATGTTCAAGGATGCTGCATAATCTCCTTTTGCCCTAATGAATGACACTGGGGACATGGTCTAAATTCTTAGCAGAGAAGAAGGTTTCTGGACAGAAATAAAGTACTTAAGTTGAAACACCCAAATACACATCCCTGTTCCACATTACTCTTCCTTGCTCTAATCCAAGGTATTGTATTGGTTGAACACAATAATCTACTATTCCAAATAGTACAGCATTTGTTTAATGCAACAGACGAGCATTAAAAGAAACTGGGTTGAGAATGCTGTTATTTCAGCATGCCTTGTCTACATAGCAGTTTAATACAGGCTGATTCTGGCTTCAAACTGGAAAATCCCATTTACACAGTGTCCTTCAGGTCTTGCAAGTATGTTAATCTCTGTGATTATGTCTACATTTCAAATTAGCCTTTAACAGGCAAAGGTGCTTCATAACATGCCATTCAGAAGACTCCTGGGTTATAGATCTGATTACAGGGGGGGGGGGGGGATTGGCAGAAAAGAGAGATTTTGTGCAGCATGAATTTCCAAAATAAATTTGTGTCTTGTCTCTTCCAATATTGGTAATTTAGTCAAAGATTTTGAGTGCTATTTTCAGATTTCAGAATACATGCCTGTTCATTTTAGCCATTATAAAAGATACCACATTAAGCCAGATTCAGCATCTTGGAAGGCTGCCTTAATCTGGTTTGGTTTATAAAAAATTAATCTAATGCAGTATAAATTTTAGGCAAATCATTTAATTTTATAATTTTAGCATTTTTTTTTCCTGTGAACTAGGGCAACAAGAGTTGCTTCCACATTGGCCTTGTTCTCTAGGACTGCTGCCTTCATTCACAGCCTTCTGTGGATTATTCAGATGGTGTCTTCCTTTGCATTCCAATCTTTTGTGTATTATGCTACATTATAGATGGAGGACTAGTGATTAATACTCTCTTAATTATCCCTTAAATAGTGCCTCCTAATTGTCCCAATATATTATGATCCCACAACAGGCTCGAATTACCTGAAGTAATTTATTTTTCTTCCCTTTTTTCAATAGCAGAATGCCACTGTTTTGCCATTTTTTAAATAATAAAAGAAAAGATAAATGACTGGAAAGAATAAGTTCCTTGTTCCATAAAAGCAAAAACTGAGAGTAGAGCCCTTAAGAAGCAATCAGTAGACTATTTATCACTGTTCTCTCACCCATTTCCATTCCATATATTTATTGGAAGGCAATGAACTGAATTTAAAAGGAGGATACATGTTAATATTGCTAAGAATTTTGCAGAACTTTGAACTTTATCTAATTTATCAATCAAAACAATAGTTGTTACTAGTGATCTATTAAGTGCTTATGCCCAGCCTCCATTTTTGTCATGAATCACAAGTGGGAAAACCATCAAATAGTTTGTTCTCTTTCATTTCTTCTGTTGCCTTCTCAAATAGCAACTAATATGAATGTTTGCCATTCTTCCATAAAGGCCTGTCTCATGACTACATTAGACACATTGAACCAATGGAACATTTATTTAATGGTGACTTACCAAGTTCTCATTCATCCA